AGTCCTCTAAGGGGCTCGACTGTAATTTCTGATCCAGGGATTCGGTCCGGGTAAACATTCCTCCGGTGGGCCGTCAGCTTATCCCCGGCGCATCCCCGATATCCTTACAGAGTAGTGTAGGTAGTATTGAAACATCATGACTGGTATATATGGAAACAATAGAACGGTGCTCTCTGTTCTTAACGCACCTTGACAATGGGACGACTCGCTATAAGCTTGCGTATGTGCTCATTCCTGTACACATTGGTTCTTTCCGGGACAGGCTTACGTGAACGTTGAGGGTGTTGATGTGCTCCTCTTAGAACACCAGGTTTAGGTGTGTTGCCACTCTCCATTTCCCCCAGTGTGTTGGCCGCAGTCGACCAGTGCTTGAGCTCCATGGCATACGTATCTTACATTGCTAAATCTATCAAGAAGCAAGCACGCTATTATTGATCGAGTAGTTTCTGCTTCATCCGATTTGTGGTAGTACCTACCAAAGTGTGTATTTTATTATGCAATGCTTGTACGCCTAGCGGCCGCCCGAATCATCCACCTCCAGCGCTAGTGAATGGGTGCAAGGAGGAGACAAGAGCTAGATGGAAGCAGGAAAAGAAAGGGCATTTATATGATACCTAACCCTGATGTATACGGCAAGGCAAAAGAAAAGTCATGTGTCAGTAAGGGGGTCATAATGCCCCGTGGAAGATTTATATATCGTCCAAAGCCTTATCCGATGGGGGAGATATTAACATCGGGGAGAGCCAGTGACAAAGATTTTCTTTGAGGCAATACTGCTGTATATATCGGTGCATGCTCTTTGCCCGTTGATTCCGACATCTCGTTGATGGAAGCCAGCATCTCTCCGTGCTGTCCTTCGAAACAAACTTTACTGTTAAATCAGAGTGCCAATGATAGCATGGGCACTTCTTCCTGCTACTTTGCATCATTTTTGAAATTGTAGTTGATCTCGGTGAGGACCTGTCTTGCATAGAGCAGTACTGTAGAGATGTATCTGTCTTTATTGGCAACACATTATCTCTTGGAAGGCTTTTACCTTCACACTTCACACTATCATCGGAGGTGACTAGACCCTGAAAGCTCAGGCTATATTGCCGAGCCTTTATCGTCTCATGCGTGCATGGTGGTCCCCTCAGAAATAGGTGTAAGATTTCGGGGTCAGATCTCTCATTACACTATTCATACGAGACGCGTCCAGCTTCATCCCAGTATGGTGTGGGCCTCTAAAAGCATCGTCGCGCCACGTGAAGCAATGTGAAGGCTCACGATTGCACTCGCCCCACGGCGGTTAATGCCGGTTGATGCTATCGTCTGATGCTCATCAATAATGTCAAACATTATGACGACTGCACGCACCCTGATTGTTTTCCGTACCAGTGCATTTACAACATTGGTAAGAATGCATCGCATGAACATCGCCGAGGACTCGTTGCCGTGCAGAGCTAACTTGAGTCACTTGTGCTTTATTCCCATACCCCTGCAACATGTTGCTTGAAGCTATACGACTGCAGTCCAATGGCTCGGTTACAGGAGGTCTAGGCTTTGCCGCAGTGGTACCGAAAGCGATATGTGTAACGAACCTGAGCTCAACGCTACCATCAGAAGACCCAGGCGATTCGTTCGATGCATCCGAGGGCTCTGTGCTTGTACACCAATGCGATGCAGCTGGTTCATGGTGTGCCGGTATTGCGCACGAGCTCCTGCGTAGATAAGCTAATGCGTATGGGAAATATGGCCGCCTGAGGTTCGAGACGGAGTGAATAAGTGAAGGCTTCTCAGAGGATTCGCTCAGCATGACGGTTCGAGGGTCCATTACAGCATCATCTGACACAGACAAAAATGGGAAAGAACAAGTCACCATCTCGGACGAATGAAAGCCCAATGGAATAGTCGTCATTTCTCGTCAAGAGCACCGCAACAAGACTAACCCTGATTACTCTGACTGCAGCATGCCACAGCCAACATTCCTGAACAGAGCCACCAGGACCAGGAGCGGAGAACCGCAGGATCGACATGGATAAAGTCTGCAGCTCGAAAAGCAGTCCTCGTAAAGGCCATCTGTTCCATCAAATCAACAAAGTTATGGTACTTGTTGCTGCAAATCTTGGTGAGATACTTGCACTACTCATATCTTGATTTTTGGGCTGTGACAGAGTTATCCACATAAGCTCAAGGTGCTTATGAACCACTGCAATGTGGGGAGAGAACGGGTGTTCTTTGATTTAACCGAAAGTATCGACAAGCACGGATTCATCGCCCGGATCATCTATGCCTACCGTTAGTGAAGCAGTCCCCGATATGTTCAAAAGGTTTAGCGATGCTATTGCCTTCACACTATCGACTAAGAACAGTGAACCTCGGCTCTCTGAGAGATTGAAACCCTACGTGGCTGATGCTCTTCGTTTGACTTCTCATAGGGGCTTGGAAATACACTTGGACGTTGCATTGTCTTCTTAAGAATTGGTAATACTAAGAAAAAAGACAGAAGCTTCCGGCAACGGCTTACAGAAAGAGAGTAAGATACAATGGAGAAAGAGAACAAGATTCTCAGAGATTGTGAGAGGCAACGTCATTCTCCGATGCAGGCAGCTGAGGAATGGCAACCTCAACAAGTGAGGCTTCAGCTTCTGTCTGATAGCCATGTCAGCACCACGACTGGGATTTGTGACAAAGCGTAGTGCATCTCCAGTTGCCCTCTCCCTACGCAGAGAGAGCTTGATGCTGTATAACATTAATGGTCAGCTTCACACCATGCTCAGTCTCGACGAAGACTGCATCAAGGTCTCTGGGACCAGAGTCTCCAACAGCATCAGCAATAGGAACGCCAATCCGACTGTTACTGTTACCGTTGTTCATCGTCGTCCATCAATGGTTTTCATCATATTGAGCTTTCTGTTCTTCAAAGATGCGACCAACATCTCTTAATGTGCTTCAGCGACTGTAGCATCGCCTGCACCCATGTTGACTCTGACAACAATGTATTCATCACCATAGGTACCGGATCTCATAAGGGGAACATCAGTCACATATCTTGACAACCCACTGCTCGTGCCATCCACGCTTGAACTTGATAAGTTCTTTCCAGTATCAGTTCTTGGGATACCCATTCGGGGTAAAGTGACTTACAGTCTCCTTGACATCATAACGAGAGAGATGAATCGGGTGACGACGGAGAGAATCTGACGCTCAGATCAGGATCGAGTGGAATTCTGTTGCACACTAACTATGGAAGGAGAACCTATAATGCGATGGCAAAAGTCTTATTCATCAAGTGTCATCAGATGACTGTTATATCGTTCAGAACAATGAGTCTACAAGTGCGACTCACAGTGGTGAAGGAGGATCAGAAAGGTAGGCTACGTACGGCAAATTTGCGTCCTTCATCAAGTTCTCATGCATGATTTCACTTTCCCCTCCGTTCCAGGGCAGTTGTGGCTTCTCTATCCGTTTATTACTGAAGTTGACAACCTGGGCTTTCTATTGCGGCGCCACCGTCAGATTGACTGGTTACTACCCTGTAGCAACGAGAAAAGCACGTAGGTTGGGAAAAATTAAAGCGACCTTTTAGTACTATACCGTATATATAGATTACGTGTCATCTCACAGGAGTCCAGTAAGTGAATCGATCCATTCGTCTGGCCTATTTCTACTCAAGTATATCCCAATCTAACTGGATCTTCCCAGCAGTCCTTCAATCTCGAACTCCTTCGACGCTGTGACAACCGCCAGGTTCGGAGCGGGCATGATTCTTGGAGTCCAGAAATGATGTTATTCTCGGACGGAGGCCTTCAGCGAAGAAAGAATGGAATAGCCAATAGAAGGTTGTGCTGAATATCAGCAAGATAAGAGAATGTGTGTTTAAACAATACAAGCAGAGCTTCCAGAGAATTGCTGTGCTGTGCCAAGATTTGACTGATGTCTAGCGCCGTTTGAAGTACATTTTTCCCACCCCGCATTTCGGAACTACGCGCTAGACAGCAAGCTTTGCCCCGGCCGTCGAGTCAGACTCCACACTATGAGCTTTGAAAGAGATTCGTCCAAAGGAACAAGGCTTCATTGTAAAGGCCGGTATCTGCATACGCTCTTTGCGAAAGGTCTGATTACAACCCAATGTACTATATAAGTGGTCTCAAGAACAGGCAGTTGCATTTGCAGTGTAGAAGAGTTGGCAATCATTGAAATTGTCCTTGACAATGTTCCGTCAATCCCGACTCAGAGGTAGTTTGACCGTCAACTCATCGCTTCAACCAGCGCCTTGGACCCTATAATCAACTGGCATTAACGCGTGTCTCTCATCGCCGCATCAATACTCTTGTCAAGTTGCAATAGAAGTCGTCTTCATACGGATCTATTCAGAATGACTCGAATTTAGATCCTATTTCGAAGTGGGCAGGGAAGGGGTTGAGTTTTAGGCCGTGGCGTTGCTGACAGATTGCCGAGCCGTGCGGATCGAGCCCGACTCTCGGACTTTTGCTAACACCGTCTTGCACCAAGCTGATCGGTCGAATTTCAGGGTGGATCGAGTGTCTCTTTATTCTCGGGCGAGGGTATTGTATTGTAAATAGATTATATGGATAATTTAGTGTGTTCTGATTATCTTCTTGCAGGCCGTCCATGTCGGAAGCTTGTTACAATCTTTCAGTAGAAGGGGCCCACGCGATTCAGATATAAGTCACGCGACCTTATGACTGACTTCTGCGTGCTTTGACACAAGACTCTGGCAACTCACAATGTTAACCCCGCATTTCGTCCGATTATCCGCTGTTTAGCCGGACCAACAGTAACTTCAAGGAAGAGAAGCGGGGTCAATAATGGTGTGGTCGGCCTCCTGCAGGACAGCTCATCGCTAACAACAACTCAAAAAGAGGGGTTCGCCTTCTCCCGGTGAGGCCATCGGTTCGTTTTTGCTATCCCCATCAGACACAATAACTACATTCAACAACTGAAGCTCTATCTCGTAAACGCTCGGTCAATATCTCTTGATCTGTTCGAAAACCGACATGCCGAGAAAAAAAGACAAGAAGATGGTTGAACACGCCTCAAACTCTGAGCAAGACTACAAGCAGCAAGGCTTTTCAGAAACCCCGCTCAGCAACAAGCCATCGACCTGTGTCTTTGACCCCAACGGTGATACATGTATTGTTCTTTGCACAGACATTGCGCAGAACTTCGAGTGGTGGGCAGATGAAATCTGCGTAATAGAAGATGCGCCAGCCGACGAGATTCAAATAGATTTGGACAAAGTAACTTTCACAAATCTTAGTATTGAAGAGCCTTCTGTTCCGGATTATCAAGATGACGAGACGGATAGTGGGCATAGAGAGGCTGGTACGAGTAGCGATAGCACAAACCTACCGGGAGAGGACTCGCACGATCAAGAGATATGTGCACCTAGACCTGAGAAGACCGAGGTTTGCATGCTTGTCTCGGGAAAGCATTTGGAACTAGCTTCCCCAATCTTCAAAACCATGATTACTGGTCCCTTCGCAGAGGGACAAGCAGATCCATCAGGCATCCGAAATATCACAGCGAGCGACTGGGATCCCGAAGCTTTCAAAATTATCCTTACTATCATTCATGGATACCATCGAGATGTACCAAGATTAGTTAGCCTTGAAATGCTTGTCAAAGTGGCTATGATTGTGGACTACTACCAATGTCTTGAGAGCGTCGAGGTATACACGGACATGTGGCTTGAGGGTTTGAGGTCAGACTTCCCGAAGGTCTATGGACGGGACTGCATACTTTTCCTTTTCACATCTTGGGCTTTATCAAAGCAAGGTATGTTTCGAGACATGACTAGGCTGGCCTTGAGGCACAGTCAGAAATTGATCGAAGTCCACGATTTCCCAATCCCAGCTGATGTTCTTGGTAAGTTTGAGGATCACATTAAAATATATGCATATTCTGACACAAGTCGCAGAGGAGATCAACGTAGCACGCCAAAGCAGCCTGGCCGAAGCCTTTTCAGCAATGTACGAGCTCCTTGACCGTCTTCAAGAAGAAGACGAGTGCTCTTTTGAGTGTTCATCTTTACTTCTCGGTGTTCTAACCAAAGAACTAAAACGTCGTGGGATTCTGCATCCGCGACTTGACCCGCCGTTCGAGCGTTTCAGTATTGAAGGGTTCAAAAACATGATAGATGCATTGAGAAGACCTCAGTGGTACGGCACTAATTGTTACAGATATGGCTGTTGCATTCAGAACAAGTTGTCTGAGCCGTTCGAAAAGATGGAAAGTAACCTGCCTACCTTCTCTCTGCAGGACTTCCAGGTTGTCAAGCGGCCTGCTCGCGTCTAGAAAGCACCATTTTTAGGTGGAACAAATTAGAGACGCGGCGTATTCTTTCCAAAGGCAATTGCAGGAAACGGACATGCTGTAGTCTGTCTGTCCACCATGAACATTACATGACACATTTATTTTGTTACAGATGGTTTAAAATGCCTTCAAGAAATGTATTCGGGCTGGCCTCCAGAAAGATCGAGTCACCTTTGGAAGGCTATGGACGGACTTTGTAGCGAAGTTGTTTCACGGTATTTCTGATACGTACTGCCGCATGTATCATTCCAGCGGACGACATCAAATGAAATTGCATGGTTAACTGGTACCGGGGCAGCGCGACCCCACAGACGTTCATCTCATCATATGATAGTCGTTTCTATGGTCGGTTTGTTGCTAGATCACCTTTTTGTGGGGCATAGCTCCGATACGATGTGGCGGGCGTAAAGCCATACCAGACTTGCAAGAGACGTCGCCCACTTGATTATTCTGCCTGCAGTGTCGCCTAGACCTCGGTTATTATGGACGTTATAATTCTGGGGTAATGGTGTTCAATAATGGAGATTACTAGGGCCATTGCAATTGCTCTGTGCCTAGGTATTAATGTTCACCAAATTGTATCCCTACGAGAAGCAGGGACTAAGTCCCGGATACCACTTCGCTGAATCCTGCTGTGATAATACCCGATCTACAGAAGGAAAAGCTCCCGATCGATACGTGGGACTTTGTGACTTTGGGGCAGACTCATACCACACTGGTTGGCCGAGCCGGATGAGAATAGCTCCTTCGGTTACATTCCCTCAGGTCTGTGTATGGCTGTAAGAAAAGTCGCATTTGAGAGGTCCTTCACTACGACTTTTAGGATTTTGTAAACCTATTGCGAAGGCCCTTATCACGAGATGTGTTACCAGAGAGCCCTGAGTTGTGCATGCGCGCGTGCAGAGGTGATAAGTGCTATAAACGGTTCAGCTCCGAGGTCCGGCGCGATACTCGCGAGAGGCTTGGGAACCTGGTCGGGGCGTACCTCTTTATAGATGAGAAAAAAACGGCTGTCGCTAAACGCGTGCCCGACCTTTTGGTCTCGAGAAAGCGGGCAGAAGGGATGTGATCAGGGGAGGTGACGTTTGACCAGGAGACGGATGAGCCTGGGTAAACGTCAACGTCGCGCGAGGGACAGGAACCTGACGTTGGATGTAGACCGTTGAAGCATTAACGGACGGACATCTTGCAGGAGCCAGACAGACGGAAACGACGTCACATACGTGTTGGGCACTCCAAAGAACTGTTCGGGCCCATACCCGCTTAGCGACCAGATGCGCGTTAGTCACAATAACTACGGGCTGAACAGGTCTAACTCGTCACCAAGACCCTGGGCAACTGAATCTGACAAGTTCGGAGTGAGGACGAATACCAACCGCTCTCCGACGTGCTCGAGACGCTTAGATTCACGAGAGCCCCTGTCGTTGCGACTGTTGCGACGGCTACGATCCGCGTCTCGGGCTTACCCACAATACGAAACAGCGAGGTGGTCGTCAACGGGAGCAGGGAACAATCCAGCATAAAATCGCACAAGATGCTAAGCATCCTAGAAGTCCCCTCTCCTACTACAGCCCGTCAAAAGGTCCGCCCACTTAAATAAAGATTACCGAGGGCATCTTTAATCAGGCCGAGGGCCTGGCCGCGTTCACGGTCTTGAATGATCTCGCCAGCGATTCCAGGCCCCAGAACTTCAACACCTCGGCTTTCGAGAGCACTGGCTTCAACACAGACAAGAAACCCAGTTTGATCTTGGAAACGATGACGATCATGATAGACAAGCATACAACAATAGACCAGGATAAACAAACGCTGATCGCCACGGTGACTTTTGTGCTTCGACATTCATCTTTAGTCGGACCGAAATCTTGTCCCGTTCCTCCACGTCGACCCGCCTCTTGGGCAGGTATCCTTGATCTGTGATTCTAGGTTTGTGTACATGTTGCTGACCCTGTGCCTCTAGATATTCCTGCCAGCGTCGTTATCTGCACCACTGACGCGATGCTGGATCTGTCTTTGGCGTAAGGGAGGTACGGACCCCTCCTCGTATTCGGAAATAGCGACAAGTATCATCCACGCCCCCGCTCGAGCTTTCGAAGCCAAACGAACACAAAAATGACGTCCGTCTCCTTGCTCGGTTGCAACAGCCGCTGAAGGCAATAAGGCCGGAGTGATTCTGGCAATGGATCAGGAACTGGTGCCCGTGTCGTTTTTTGCAGCGTACGGTGTAAGGGCATCCCGGACATGCACCTGGGCCTGATTGGTCCCGTGAACTCTTACGGTTCATAGATTCGGGACATGCTCTTTCTGTTTCGCTTTGTAAGCTGGGCGGGAGCTGCTAGATCGGCCCTTATGCTTGCGTACAGTCCACCTACGAGGTAGTTTCAAGGACTGTACGTGCTGTTTTGACTATTGCTCCGGGGCTGCTCGAGACTGCCCACGATCCACCAACTCTGGTCATGAGGACGGCTGTGGCCGAATGTAAGCCGGCGTGCTCACCCAGAACTGACCACATTAAGGCGACCCAGCAGGCCTCGACGTGTAATGTCAAGAGAAGTGTTGATGTGTCCGACAAAGACTGAGGTCTTGGCAGGAGATCTGTCGTCGACTCTGTTGGGAGCTGCGTATTTAAGCTTCTATGACCGATGTACCACTGACCCGCGGTCAGTGAGCACCAGGCTTGACCAACGGCTTATTCTGCGGTCCGAAAGGTAGCAGGTCCGAGTCCTGCAACCCCCTGAATCTGCTACCTAATGGAGAAATAGTTATCCCATTTCTAGTTTAGCCTGATTAGGAGGAATCGCTTGATCCAGCTAAAGAGAGGGTTCTCTGATGGACTGCAAACAAGGAGAGTTTCAAATTTATACGAAGATTTCTGGCTACCTTGGGTTGTTAGTTAATCAACTTGAGTCATGGTAGAGGAAAGAAGGACCATTTTACAGATGAAACACACTTGCACCCGGTGGTCGACTGAAAGCTCGGTTTTGAAGGGAATACATTTCACATTCCTACTTGGCATTTTACCTCCTTGAAAGACTCAAGCTACCCACTACAGTGCACCAGCACTTGTGAGCTCTTTCATGCATGACAGGACGACTTGAATCATGGGCTCGACTGAGCTCTTTCCAAGCACTGTGCGGCCACACTGTGTGGAGCAGGCGAAGAGCAGAGGAGCGATCATCGCTCGTCGCTCGTAGATCCTCTACGATGAAAGGAGCTATGCCGGCAATGGCCACCGGCATTGTTCCAGGCCCTGACTGTCATGATGGAAGGGCGCAACGATCATCCCCACAGCTAATTGCTACGGATACAATGCTGCATTTAGAGTTGGCGAAGAAAAGGGCAGAGTACCTGACCTGCGGAAGAGGAGAGAAGGGTGACGATCATTGGAAACATCTGCTTAATCGAAGGCAACCTGGAAACTCAGATCTCCTAGAGGTGTTCGATGGTAAAGGAAGCGGTGCAAAAGATTTTACTCTCTACCAAGTTCCCAAAGCACAAGACACATGTTGTAGGTCAAGAGAGTTATCATCACTGGCTGCGCGCTCCGCTTACGATGTAATGCATGCGGCAGATGCTTTGCTCCTTAGACATCGTGCTTTACGACTTCTAACTGCCCATAGGTCCGAAATTCTCCTTCGTGGAAGGGACTACGAGATGCCAAGCAGATGGGTATCGCAGACACTCACAGGGTTTGTAGCAATGCTCGGACAATTAAGATTGTTATGGACTTCAGTCGCAGCGGGGACGCATCAACGTGCTCTGTTGCTCCAACGATCCGGAGTAATGCGAACCATGGAAAATGTACATGCGTTATTTCTGCACTGCTACAACCGACATTTGTCGTTCCGCGCCTGAGTCGTCCATCAGAAGCAAGCCTGTCCGATATAGACGACGGGGACACCGGGTATGGGACGCCCCGTTTTAGGATGTAGTTGCCGCGAGTATATCCATTTTTCATGTTGAGTCGTTCGCCGACCACGACACGCATTGGATATGTTCCGATCTTATTCAGACTTTCGAGCTCGCAAAAGGACTGTCCACGAATGCGGTGTCAGTCAGCTACCCGTCACGCGAATTCTCCGCGGAACTCGATGGATAAACACTGCTTCCTTCTTTGGGTGGTTGTAAGCAAAAAAGACTCTCTTTCTGGTGCTACTTTCAAGAAAGAAGCTCGTCTTGAGACCAACTGCTCTAGACAGTCGACTACTCGGGGTTTGCTTATGGCACATCTGGTCATAAAGATGTCCGAAACATGTACTTGATAAAACCTGGACAGTCAACGTCGAGGACCCCGTCAGGGAGACCCAGACAGAATGTGTTTTCCACGCGGATTGGCAGGATGTACAAGGGTCACAAAACAACTACAGACGTCAACCGTGCACAATACTGCAATTTGCGGGCAGAGCATTGACGTTCAGATAGTGGATAAACCATTGTCAGCTTGAAGGCATTGCTATCGAGCGTAGTTCGATTGTCTTCGAATCTGATAACGACGCTAGTAACGGGGTCAAGTTGAGGCTTCAGATCCCAGTTATCCATCTGTAGCATGAGACTTGAGGTTCATCTAACCTTTTAAACATGGCGCATCTGTTCTTGAAAGGAAAGTAGGGTCGCCTGATTTATTTAACTTAAACGGAAATTATAATAGTTAGATTTTCCAAGTGATAAACTAGTCTATTCTCAGTTTATAATAGTAGATTGATAGATTATTATATTAAGTAGATAATATAGCTTTACGTTTCTTAATAATAAATACAATATTTTAAGCATATTTAAGTAAAGATATCCTATTAGTTGCTATTAAGCTAAGTATATTAACTAATACTAAGAAGATGTATATATATCTATAGAGGCTTATAGTTATAAGTAAATCTTATATTATAAGTTTAAGCTTACTATATAAGTTATATTATAAGCTACAAGCTTAAAAGCCTAGTATCTTATATTGTAACTAATCCAGTATAGGTAGTTAATACTATAAT